ATTTTTATTATAAAAAAAAACATGAATAATAATGAAAAAGCTAAGTTTAACCAATTTTGATGAAAGCATTCCTAGATTTTCATCATCAAATCATTCGCAAGTCTCAACATTTTTTTTAAAAAAAAAAAAGTACTTACTATTGTCAAAATTAATATTAAAAATTTGAACTTCAACCATCCTAAATTCTCCTTGGCAACTAGAAAATTGTTGAGTCAATTTCATTAATATGGAATAATGGAAAGTCCACATCAAGTATGGTACATATGATTCATATACATTGGTTCCTTGAATTCCAAAATGGTTGCTAAATTGATTAATCATTTACTCTTACAAAAATTCTATTCAGCAACGACTTTTTAAATAGTTTTTAACATTTTGATTAAACTTTGTTTTAACAGTATTCGATAACATAGCGTTTGAACTAATTTTAAAAAATTAATATAGCATTTTATAAAAAGTTAATTCGTATAACATATAATTTTTAGCGTTTTAAGAAAAACACAACAGCTATCAAACCAATTAATTTTACGGAACAGTACTCTTTAACCTTATGATTAAGATTTTATGTGGATCACAAGCCACCTTTAGATTGCTACTTATCATTTATCAAGTTTGGATAAGAAAAAGAAACTCTAAACCTTAGCCCCTTTAACAAATGTCTCTCTGAAATAATTTTAAAATAAATTTCACTTTTCTTTAAAGGTTCCAACACTTTGAACTTTTTGCCCTACCGGAAATCATTTGGCTTCCCTGCACACAAGGGCCCCGCCCCGAAAAGGTCAGGGGATTAAGACTAAGAAGAAAATTGATGAGGACATATATATTCACATTTGGTGGCGGATTCATGGATACTATTCGGAAAGAGAATTTTTAACAATAAGTTTCAATCCTGCACGTTAAAAATAATTTAATCGTAAATATATATGCGATTTGATAATAAATTGAGATTTGAATTTTCTCTTTTAATATTAAAAAAAAAACAATAAATTTCTAACCATTGATGTTGTAAATAAAATTTATTTAAAAATATACTCCACTTTAACTGGTATCAATTATCTCTTATTAAGAACATAAGTTTTATAGGAGTGGTAATTCATAAGAACTAATTTCTTTTTTTCTCAAAAAAAATAAATAAATATGCATTTAATTTTTTTTAAGATACTAAATATGCCTTTTTCATTTTTCAAAATAAACAATTTCAAATTGTTTGTGCATATATATTTTTTCAAATGCTGAATAATAAACTTCATTATTATTTAAAACAATAATATATTTAAATTAAACTGAATTTTAATTAATTGAAACGGTAATTTACATTATTTCAATTGGTTTGATTTAAATACGTCATGACTTCATATTTATTTATATTTTAATTTAAATACATCATTCGATTCTATCTTCGTGCAGTCTATAGCCTGGAGTGAGGACTCATACGCATCTGACGAGGCCGGACCCAACCCAACTGCTTAAAGATGTATTAAAAAGAAGTGTAATTTTTGAAAAGTGGGCCTCACGTAATTTTGCAAGCCCATGTTTTGCATGTTAAGCTAGGCCGACCTTGGAGCCTATGAACATTGTTAGATGAAACTTGAAAGAATAAAAAACCCATCATGTTGACAATTCGAAATTGTTGGTACGTTGACATTTTTTTTCGGCTAAATCTTTAAAAATACTTCAAATTTTAGAGTTAATTTTAATTGTACCCTAAATCTAGCTTTATTTTTTAAGTATCCTGAATTTCAATTTTAGTTACAATGGCACTCTAATTTTAAATTGTATCTAATTTAATAAATAAAATATTATTTTCTTTGTACCTATACTCGTACCTATACTCTCTCTTATAGTCAGGCTAACTAAAAATTTGCTATTTAACAATACTCTAACTAATTATATTAGTTAGAAATTTAAATTCATAAAAATATATGTAAAATAATAAATTTTAGTTAGTTATAAGTATAAAATATTAGTTTAGATTTTTGTTTTGTCATTTTTTAAATATAAAATTTTGTTTATACTTAGGTTAAATATATACAAATATATTTTATTCATTATGGCGTCATTTTATTTTTAAAAAATCATTACTTATTGTTAATATTATATGACCAAATATATTTTTATTCATTATGGCGTCATTTTATTTTTTAAAAAATCATTACTTATTGTTAAATTATATAAATAAATAAAATATTTTTCATTACTTATTGTTAATATTATATAAATAAATAAAAATATTTTATTTTTAAGATGAATATATTATTTTTATTTTAATATTTATACAAATAAATATAATGTAATTAACATAATTAACAATTATGTAATTATCCAAATAACAATTAATATAATTAACATTAAAAGAAGCATTCGTTAAACTTTCAATTCCAAAGTTACAGTTAGTAACCAATTAAGCATGACTTTCTTTGTCGGTAATCTCAAAGTTATACCATATTATTGTCATCTGTCACAAAAACTATACAAATATAATTTGCAATCTTGGATTTATTTTACTACGGGGTAAAAAACGTAACGTTTTGACAAAAAATCTCAGATAGAAAAAATTAATTAATTTGGATTAACTGAGGTATTTTTTCAAACTAACCTCACCATAACCAAAAAAACCAAATTAATAGTTATAACTAACCCATCCAAATCAAAACCAATCTATTGGCAGCCGAATCAAACCAAAATTGCTCAATTCAATTCAATTTGAATTTTTGAATCTTTGGTTATATCCGCAATTTGCTCGCGGCTACTTTCACCACATTGTAATCTTTGGTTAAAATTAGGGTGCTATTGTACTTAAAATGAAAATTTAGGATGCTAAGAGAAGAAAGTTGAATTTAGAGTACTATTAAAACTACTTACAAAATTTGAGGTATTTTTAATGATTTACCAATATTTTTTTGTGGTATGCAGAGCTATATATTACCCTCTTTGTAAAATTTTACGTGCTTCAAGAAAGCTATTCAATTTATCGAAGTTATTATTGAGCAATTGAACAACCACTGTTAATCATATACAAAAGATAAAAATAGAAAAAATAATTTATTATTTATAAAATCCGTACGCTTGAATAAGTATTTAGAATACGATACTTTCTTAAATACAGAGAAAGTAAAATATTGTAGTTTAAAGGAAATTTAAACTCAAAATTTTTTTTATTTTTTTTGACATTTAAACTCAAAACTTAATATGTTGACTTAGACACTCAGTTTCACGGTAAGATAGTGGGCAGTCTAAACCATTTAGGACAGCTCATAACAGGTTAAAAGGTTTAATTTCAATTATATATCAGTGAAAGACAAAAGTAATATTACATGCTGCTAACGTTAGTAAGTTATAAATAGATTATAGGTTAATTAGAGCAAAGATATCTAATGACTGATTTTACTCTATAACTCTTTTGTATTAGTAAAAATAGTAACGCTACACGGCACAAGTTCTGCTAAGTACAACCTCTTTAAATTCTACTAAGTACAATCTCTTTAAATTGATTATAATAATTTTAATATAATATCAGCAACACCTTTATCATCGTATCACTAACTGAGTATTACCGTCGTTTCATCTAAGGGTGAGTATTTAGTTGATCCAAATCAATCTAAATATAGCCGAATTTTATAAATTTATTATCCAATTCAAATCATATTTAATATAAAATAGAAAGTAACCGAATCCAATAATATGCGGTTTTTTATAAAAAAAACCGCAATCGTCCCAATAACCAAATTAGTATTTTCAGTTAATTAATCCAAACTAATTACGAAAAAATATCCAAATCTAAAATTTTTCAATATATGTGTTCTTGTCTTTAAATTTACAGCTTGCACTCTTAAAGTAATTATAAACATATGCTTATAAATTTACACACAATTGTATATAATAAAATAAATAATTAATTAATCCAACAGCCACAAGTGTCAAATCTAAAATTTTTCAATATATGTGTTCTTGTCTTTAAATTTACAGCTTGCACTCTTAAAGTAATTATAAACATATGCTTATAAATTTACACACAATTGTATATAATAAAATAAATAATTAATTAATCCAACAGCCACAAGTGTCCAAAAAAAATTACAAAGTCAGTCATATCTAAATGTAACTATCCAAATAGCAATTAATGTAATTAACATTAAAAGAAGCATTGGTTAAACTTTCAGTTCCAAAGCTACAGTTAGTAACCAATTAAGTATGACTTTCTTTGTCGATAATCTCAAAAATTATATCATATTATTGTCACCCGTTACAAAAACTATACAAATATAATTTGCAATCTTGATTTTATTTTAATATGGAGTAAAAAACGCAACGTTTTGACAAAAGCTCTGAGATAGAAAAATTAATTAATTGGATTAACAGAGGTTTTTTTTTTTTTTAAACTAACCTCACCATAACCAAAAAAACCAAATTAATATTTATAACTAACCTATCCAAACCAAAACCAATCTATTGGCAGCCAAATCAAACCAAAATTACTCAATTCAATTTGAATTTTCGATTATATCTGCAATTTGCTCGCAGCTACTTTCACCACATTGTAATATGGTTATGCCTGACATATACTGTGCCAAAACTATTTATCGTAGTAAAAAGTCTTAATAACTGTGTCATATTAGTCACGCCCTTTTATATCTACCATTTATCCTTCTAAGCTAGATAGTGAGGGTCTTAAAACAGGCATTGATACTCTTGATCCATTAAATTAATCAGTATGAAGCTCGCTGGGAAGATGCAAGTAAGCTATCACAAGTACCAAATATTCCAAGTCAAGTCAAGACGAGGCACAAGTTTTCATACAATGTTACATATTACAATGCTGCAATTTTAAACATACTTGTGAATATCAGGGTTGAAACAAACTCCGCAGTAAAATATAAATCAGCAGCACAAATATCGCCACTGAAATATAAGCTATCATCTAATTCTAACATCAAACAGAAATAATAATAATAATAATAATAATAATAAATTCATTTGCTTTACAGAATAAAATAGAGATATACAAATGCAAAATATAACAAAATTATGGAATTTCACCAAGAAGTTCTCAGTATTGTCAGTATCTCTGATGCTAATCAAAGGAAGTAAATACAAAGAAACCACTAGGCAATTCATAAAAGTACTCCACCAATAAAAATAAAAAATAAAAAGAAAAAAAAAGGGAAGGAAAGAAAGCTGCAAATTTGCAACATGGAAAAAATAAAAGAAAAGGAAACTACCTACCTTGGGAACTAAAAATTTGAAAGACTAATTGCCAAACAGGTTTACATATTCTGTGGTATTTCCTGAAACATAAGAGAATGCTTCTTCTCCTTTTCTTTTCCCTTATTTTATGGTTTTTTTGAGAATGGATGTTGTTTGAGAAGGGGGGAGGAGATGTACAGCATTCCTGCATGAATTTCACCTTTCAAATTCTCAACCAAAGAAGCTTCGACTTCCATTATCATGGTTTGTGTAGCTTGAACCCAAATACTCTTGGCACATAACTCTGTGATGGCTTTTGTGGCTTCAGGTGTCCATGTGTCATCAAGAACAGGTGAGGAAATGTTGTCCCAAAGTAGGCTCCATCAATGTCTAAATAGAGTTAAGGAAACTTAAGAAATATTAAAAACATACCCATGACATGAGAGAAGATGGAGACCTAAACAGATTAAATCAGTCAATAAAGCACAAACTAATTTTGAATAGTTTTCATTGGAGAAAAAATATGATAATTCCCTAAATTATAACTCTATCGCAAATGGTTACCATTTTGAGACATCTGAATAAGTTAATGCACTCAACGTTAATATTTAAGAACAAGACAACAAAGGAGATTTTGCAAGGTAGCACATTTTACGATGGGAATGAACATTATTAACTGTATTTCCTTAAAAGTTCTAAGACAGATGTACTCTGATGCACCAAGGTCATATAGACATGTCTCAACATTAAGCTACAACCAAGTTCTAATTAACAAAGATTGAAAGAAACAATAACCGGAGCTATGAGATTCTGCTTCCATGCAATTATGTATAATATTTAGGGTTAAATAAGGCTCCAACTCAAGCTCAACCCAGTACATAAATACAATGTAAAAACCAAGATACATATTAATACATCCAGTATGTTGAGTTTTCCAGTTCAAACGAAGAGTTTTGTTTTTTTTGGACAAAGTTTGAGCTCAGCTAGCATAATTAATACAAAAATAAAAAAGGCAAAAGGGCAAGGTCTATCAAGGCATGAAGGGGATCTGGAGCCTAGCAGATTTTGCAAGGCACAGGCTCACCCCTCAGCAACATGAGATGCACAGTACAAGAAGACACATAATCCTACGTGGGACAATTATTTATAATAATACCACAAAAACAATTAAATCTGGCATCAATAATTTTGAAATCCAAACAAAAGTAATTATTAACCCATAATCCTATATTCCACTAAATTGGAATAATCCATAAAAACTAATGGATTAAAAAAAAAATGAGTTGATAAACAATTAGGATACGCATTTTTAAGGTCTTGGCCACAGAAGGATGGTTAGAAAGTTAATTATATATTAATACACATAAGGTTATCATCCTAAGATTCAGGAGAGAATTCGGGACATGATTCACCCCAATCAATTGGTTGACTAAGAGAGTATTGGATACTGAGACAATTACCCCAAATTTTGGGACATGATTTGCTCTAATCAATTAGTCGACTAGGGTGCACATATATGGTACATCCTAAAATTTAGGAGGATAGAAGTCATGATTTGCCCCAAAGTAACTGTCAATATTTGCTTTCCCCTTTTTTATGGTCTTAAAGAGAAGATGGAACAAAGGTGCACGTACTTGTGCACCTTATGTCCTCTGACTGAGGCAGTCACCTCCATGACATTGCCCGCCTCTCAGCAACAATGTCAGCTAGAAAAGAAGAAGTCTGAGTTTTTTTTTTTTTTTTTTTTTTTTTTTTGTCAGCTAGGAAAAGAAGAGTCTGAGTTTTTTTTTTTTTTTTTTTTTTTTAATAGTAAGAGTTATTAAACAAGCTAGATTTCCTTATGAGGTCAGCGGATAACGAATCACACTAGTCAGCTCAATGCATAACATATAAAAAATATTACTATATGGGAAAAAAAAAAGACCTATGTTTTTTTTTTTTTTTTTTTTTTTTTTAATAGTAAGAGTTATTAAACAAGCTAGACTTCTTAGTAGGTCAGGATAAGAATCACATAGTTCAGCTCAATGCATAACAATATAAAAAATTATATATGGGAAAAAAGACCTATGCCAGGGAGAGTTGGTAACAATTTCCAAAATCAAGAGACCAACTTTACAATGCATATGGTAGCAATTTATCCAAACATAATGAACTTCATGCTGCAATACAATTACACAAATGCATCTAGCAAAATTGAGTTGATAAAACAAAAAGAAAATCAGCAGAGCAAATTTGAAGAAAAAGAGTTTTAGGACAAGTGCTACATGTTATATCTGCCAGTTCTAACCCATAATTCTTAGCCCCTTTTGAAATTAAAAAAGTTCATGCTAGCTGGAAAAGCATATTAATGAAAATCTAATACAAAGTAAACAACAGAATTGCATGAGAATTGCCTATTTATGGGACAGGACATTAACAGCTCAGAGAAATATATGCAGCAAAGAAGATGCAGTTCAACAAAGGATACTACCTTGGTATTTGGATCGTGGGTAATATATATCCTCACATCTGGGGCAACATATTTTTACAGTGCTTGACCGAGGAATGTCTGATTGACCAACTGGAAGACAGGGTTGTCCACAGCAGTAAACCCTTGGGCATCTCCCAAAGTCACAGTTCTTGTACTTGTCCAGCTGTAGAATTCACAATATCAAGATTGTAGTAGGTGTCCCAATATTAAAGTTTGTCCAACAAACTATATAGCCAAATCTCACCATAGCAGCCATTCCTTTGGCGGTCAATATATATCGGGCATGGATCAAACCATAAAGCATCTCTGCTGCTGATTCAACTAACTCGTGTTGTTCCTCTGTAAACATATCTCCTATCCATCATAATCAATTGTGAGAAATAAATTAAATAACAGACTAAAGCAACAAACATGCGCCTCTATTACATTCATAAAAAATGCCAGGTTCCTGTACACGGTATGTATAAAAACTAAATGCAGATAAAGTTCTCTCTATCAGGCTGTCTGGAAGCAGAAAATCGTGTTAATACGTACATGTGCAACTAATGTGAAGAATGAAAATAATTATAATTAACTGAATAATTCACATACTGTGCACTTTGTTAAAGAGAAAAAAAAAAGTAAACAAAAGGGATAATATTTGTGAATTACACCATATATATGTTATGGACACATGAGCAACCTGGAGATATCTTACCATGAGAGGATTCAACATCCAAAATCAAGTCAAGTGCATAATCATAATAAGGAACTTGACTGCTTAACCCACAGAGGTTAAAATCATCCTGTATGTAATCATCATCAACTTCACAAAAGAACTCATTTCCTCGCAGATTGCAAAACCATGAAATCCAAGATGTGTCATCTGCATCGGAACCACTAACATCTGACTCTTCACTATCCGTTTCAGATTCCTCTGCATCAGAGACTAGACTTGCATCATACCATGGACAAAAGAACACAATAATACCACAGAAAGGGAAAGAAATATGCACTGAAACCATATAGTATTATTGTTCTTTCACATGATAACTGGCCAGCTATGTTGAAAAGACCAGAAGTCACATTTGAAATCTAATATTAATTAAGTTATAGCTAACTACTTTCTTCTCATAGATCATTGGCTTCTCCAATGGCAACCCAGGTGCAAACAGCTTTAAGAAGTAGCAAGTACGAATGTCATGGTAAGGTTTTTCACTACCATGCACTTCTTTGACGCTGCTAATAACCGCAAAGGATAACTACATAAAAGACTTTAAAAAATTATCTTGGTCCATTTGACAAATTCAGAGTTTTCCTCAATAAGTATTGGAGATATTTTTAAGAACAAAGATATTACAAATAAAAGTGCTGTCATCTAATATTGGAAAGATGAGCATTTGAATTTTATTCAGAGTGAAAAATAATAAAATAAATAAATAAAACACAAACACACATTGTCAAATTCAAATTCCCATTATCTGAGTGTTGTCATCTAATATTGGATACATGTGCATTTTAATTTTATTCCAAGTGAAAAATTATAGAATAAATAAATAAAACACAAATATACATCGTCAAATTCAAATACCCATTATCTATTCAAATTGACCCTTGATGGATTTTACATTTAGTTTATTTTAATTCATCTTATTTTTTATTTTCTCATTTTCCAAAGAAACTAACCAACAGCATACTTCTTCCTATTGGAAAAGTTCTAAAGAAGAAATTCTAAAGCAAACGTATATAATTGGAATTAGGAAATAAAAACTTCCTTATGAACTTCAACTAAAATTTAAAAAATAAAATAAAATAACAGGGTTGATAATTGTAGCAACACAACTTTTATTTTACACTTCAAAAAGTGTAATGATTAGCCTCAAATTAAAGCAATGGTTGCTGTTGGAAATCACTTTTAGACTCCAGTGAAAAAGCTTTATAAATTTTTAATAGAACCTACAGATAACAGCAAAAATTGATTAATCTCACAATAAAACTTACAAAGTAAAATTTAGAGGAAAAAGCAAAATCACAGTAACACAACAAAACTTGAATAAACATTGAAAAACATAAGCAGTTTAATTAAGAGATTAAACGCGAAGTGAAACGAATAATAAGCAAAATAAAAATATAAAATATCTTATACACGATGTTAGTAAAAGATAGAATACCATCAGAAGCGTTGTTTTTAGAGAGGGGATCTTTATGATCAGACGGTTGCTTTCCTATGAGAAGAGACTGCGACGAAAATTCCTTTCCGTTGATTGCTCTAGAAGTAGATGGAGAGGATCGCTCGAGATGCTTATCAAGAGCATCGTTGATCCGTTTCCGATCGACAGGTCCTACCTCCGTCTTGGACCCACCAATCCCTCTTTCTCTGTACATGACGAAAACAACAACGATGACGATGAGGATGACGATAAAGATGGCGATCTCCTCCTCCTCCTCCTTTTCCTCTCGCTCGACGAAGGCGACGATACGTACAGCTCTTTAGCGAGAAATCATCGATGCATGGCGTGGAATGACTTCGAATCTAGGGTTTTCAATTGACGGAAAGAGGGAGACAGTGAGCTCAAGCTATCGGGTTTTCATTTTTTTCATTTGGTATTTTGTAATTCTCTCTCTCTCCAGATTTGATTGGATTTCGGTGAATTTTTGAAAAAAAAATATATATAACAGAGAGGAGAAAGACAGAGATAGGGTTTGTATTTGCAAAGTTGAGAGGAAACTAATGGCCTAATTGCTAGGGCATTATCATGTACACGTGGCTTTATCATTTATTTAATTATTAATCCACGTAACTTTGTTTTTAGAAAAGTTAAATTAAATAAGCGGTTTTTTTTTCACTGGATGGATTAATAAAAGCTTATTCATGATTATTATATTTAAACCCTAACAGCTTAAAACTCTATCTTTATTAGTAATCGTATTACATAACTTTTACAACTATTACAGTAATAACTAAGAAATTTTAGAGGTTGAGGAGAATTTTTTTGAAAGTTATACACTTTAGTGTTTAGGTTTTAGGTTTAGCTTTTAATTATATTTATTTATAATTATATCTAATTTTTTCTTCAAATTTAACTAATTAAATAAGTCAAAAGCTAGACCAATTAAAAAAAAACAATTAACAACTAGTACAATACAGCTACTATAGCAATTAATATTACCAAATTTGAAATTCTTACTAAAAATATAATTTATTTAGATTATCTATTAATGATTAGTGGTCGGTGGAATCTCCGATTCATTTAGCATATATTCTATGCTAGTCAATGAAATGAAGATTTTGATTTGGTGCAGCTCAAATTATGACCAAAATTAGTTTCATTAGTCGATCAATTTTAATGTTTTTTTATCAACAAATTGTCAAAATCAATTGATTTCAATCGATTTTGTTTATTGTTGCTAAAAGAATGAATCAACTTCTCAATTTTAATCCGATTCAAAACTGAATTATTTAAATTAATTTCAATCTAGATAAAAATCAAACTGATCAATTAATGATTTGATTAAAAACTAAACTATTTTAGGTTTGATTCCAATCCAAATTGAATTAATCACATTTCTACTAATTTTAAGTTTCAACTTTTAATATTTCAATTGTCATTTTAAATCATGAACAGTTTAATTTTAAAGTATTATTTCAATTTCAATGTTCATTGAGATCAATAATTATGAATTTAATTTTCAAAAAAAAAAAGTTACTCTATCTCATCATTGTTGAATAATTGAGAAGTAAAATGCTAACTCTAAATTTTTTCTATCAAAGGTAACAAGTAAATCAAATTATATTTTAATCAATATGGATGAAACTTTATAACATTCTTGTGTAAAAAAAAATTAAAAATTCATACACCAATCATTCCTTTATCAATTTAACCAAAAATATGTTTGGTCCGTCTGACTCAAGTTTTAATATAGTAGGTTAAAATATCTAAAATACTTCCATATCTATTATGGGTAAATTTGTCATATTTAAAGCATTATGGACAATTTAACTTGCTACACTGATAACTGTACCAAGCACAAATTGTGTAACACTGACTCTTAATTTAAAATACATAATAAAAAAGAGAAAATGGGTTAATAAAGCAATTTTAACTAGTGATCCATAATACTTTTTCCATTTGACTTTAATAGCAAATAAAATTTTACTTTATTCCATTTTAAGTGATTATTTAGGATTATGAGATATATTTCCAACTTTATCCATATTTATTAGGTGTAATTTATTTTTATTTTTATTTTTATTTTTCTCTTTTTTATTATTATTTTAATTACAGTTAAATTAAAATTATGAGATATATTTCCACACTTTATCCATATTTATTAAGGTGTAATTATTTTTATTTTTATTTTATTTTTAATTTATTTTTATTTTTATTTTTATTTTTCTCTTTTTTATTATTATTTTAATTACAGTTAAATTAAAATTTTAACTACACATATAACTAAAAGTTTCATTATATCAATATATGAAAAAAATAAATGAAAGTACTAATCTAATCTAATGGTGGTACTTTAATATGAGATAAAATTAACATTAATTTTGTTTTTAAAAAATCAATATATTTTAATTATTTTTTTAATTTTCAGAAAAAATAAATATTATTATTAAAGTGGAAGTGAGCCGGTACGATTTAATCCAAACTTGTATGATTCTAAATTTTTTATTATAAAAATACTTAAGAAAATAAAATAAAATGAATTTCAAGGTAATTGACTAATTTCATAATTATAAAACTCTATGGACGAAGAGGGCGGATAGTAGGGTAGGTTGTTTTCATCGTCGAAGATATTTATATTTTATTATTTTGAATTAATTTTTGAAAATAAAATATTGAAAGCAACAAAGAGTGTGCAAGTGCAATACAGCTTTCACAGGTACGGGAACACTGCACAGTGCACACCTCACAGCAGCAGAGACATTCTTTCTACAAGGGGAAAAAAGGGTGAGAAGGCAGGTTGACCTTTAGCGGACGCATTCTATATGTCTTGCCACGTCACCAAACATTGGTCACGTGCTAAGGCTAAGCATGCTTTGAGAAACCTTTCCAGTGCCCATTGACTAGATTCTTTTCCTCAATGTTATTAAAATTGGATCCAACATCCAACCAAGTAATCAACTCGATGACTGAGTTGTAAAGACAACGAATTAACTCGGTTAAACTGAATTTTTTTTATATTTTCATAACTATTTATAAAAATTAATAAAATATTTATAATAAAAAATTAATATAATTATAAATTCATAATTATTTTTTAAACTATTTATAGTAAAATTTTTAAATTAATCTTTATTTAAACCAAATAATATATATTCAACGTAATAATAATTATACCAAAATTCAAGTTATAAAAATTTAAATGTTATAATATTTTTTAAATTATTCATTATTCACATATGTTACAATCCATTTCTATGAGCTAGAGCGGCATAGCAAGCCTATTCACATATGTCACCATCTGTTTTTATGGGCCAGACTGGCTTAATAGGCCTAGACACCGATTATAATTCTACAAACCCAATAAAATATTCAATTGGAAAGCCCGTTATAATATTAATTATCCAAATTATTGCAAGGTACTAATTCAAATACCAATACGAATACATGTATTTATCACTTATTATTTGTTCAATCTTCACGGCCCTACACTATATGCATTTACAAGTTTAATCATATCCTTAGTCATTGGCTTCATTTAACTATTCTGACTTGTATTATCAATTTTTTCAAATAAAATTCACATGTAATTGATATTATTATTATATTCATGAAACTCCTATAATAACTGCAGATATTTGAGAACCCTAGTTAAGTAGGAATCACTGTACATATCTAGACATCACTTCAACAAACTCTAATAAGAAGGAAAAAATAGAGCTTCAGGTAAATTACAGAACAAGGTTCAATTTTCTAAAAAATTAAAAGGGAGTAGGTGAGTATAAAACTCAGTGAATAATAATACATAATATCAAATTTAGACATTAACACGATATGCACTTAAACCTTTCTAGTTGGGCATACACCATTCATACAATGCCAACTATAACATCCACAAACAATAGCAACCATAATGCACATCGAATGGTCATTAGTCCGTGGAATCACCTTAACAGGACCAAGCTCTCCCCAAGCATGCTTTGGTTATCAATGATGTATTCTATGGTCTGTGACTTGTCCACCTAAGGATTCCACTCCCAGTCGGGCTCAACGAACCCGCTCCGTCAAATATTTCTTTTCTTTTCTATTATTTTTTATCTCTCTCTTTTTTTTTTTATCATCGATGCACATCAAACCACAGAGTGCACAAGGGAGGCATCACTTCCACTGCTTATGGCCACTGACGAAATTCTCACCATGCCCGTGTTCTCAACCCCAAGTGCTCTATGTCATCTCAACTCCCATTGTGGAATCACATTGCATTGTATACAAGGCAATCATTCGCAACATTAATCGATACACATTCATCTATCCATATACAGTATAAACAAGTACTTGAAAACAAACAGATGTAAAATTTAAAATAAATTATGCAATCATGAATTTGGTAAAACATTATATATTATCACTCACCTTGAAAGCAAGAATTTTTTTCCCCCTGATTAATTAGATTTTCAAAATATTTTCTTGAAAATTCTAAACCTATAATCAAATTCATACATTGATTTTAGTTCCTTATTGATAATTAAATTCTTCATAGACTTATTCTTAGTTTGTACTCACATTTTATTTCACCAAATACCATAAATTTATATTCTTAAGCAAATTAATTAATTTAGATCCTTCACAATTTACTCGCTATTTGAAATCCATGTTTCTTTAAATAAGTATTTGAAATCTATTTATTTAATAACTAAAAAGAAACCGTTATGTTCACTTAATCCATTTATTAAAATCTTTTGACTAAACTTAAACTTAATCTTCTTTAGGAACTCATATTTTATTTCTCAAATAAATTTAGTAATTTCCTTTTAAATTCCATTAAAATAAGCATTTAACTTATTTACTTAAATCAAATGTGTATACATATATTTATAATAAATAAATATCATAAAGTTTTACTATATATATATATTTAGTAATATTTCCTTTTAATTTCCATTAAAAATAAGTCGATTTTAATTTATTTTACTTAAATCAAATGTGTAATACATATATTTAATAATAAATAAATATCAAAATTTACTATATATATATATTATATTATTTATTATTATATATATATTGTGACTATGTGGCAAGGCCAGCACACCTTAGGCAAATCCCACATCGGTTAAGTACGAGGGGGTGGTCCTGTACATAAAGGGTGGCGGCCTTGAACATGGTAGATGCGTTTTGGGTGGGTTGCAAAGCCTGCCTGAAAATAAATCCGTGAGGGGGACGGCGAGACGTAACGCCCCAAAGCGAACAATATTTACCATGGGCTGGGCTGTTACAGGAAGGGATTTTTATGATGTTAGTCTTGTTGATGGCTTTAACTTGCCCATTTTGGTGACCCCACAAGGCGGTGTTGGTGCCGGTGAGTGTAAGAGCATCGGTTGTCCGGTTAATTTTAATCCCCATTGTCCACCGGAACTTGCAGTTACTGGAGTAGGTGGGGTTATTGCTTGCAAGTGTGCATGTGTAGCATTTAATCAACCGCAATATTGTTGCACCGTTTAGAACTTTTACATACAAAGTCATGGATCTTTTAAGAGCCTACCG